TATTATTAAAATCTACATAATTTGTGTTTATATATGTAAATTATTTGAATGTTGATCATCCACGTGAACTATCTACTAGAATCAAACCCCACGTACAGGATATCCAATGGCGTACGATGTGTCCTAATTGACTTGGAGATTCTAAAGTGCGCCAGGTGGGACAAAGCACTGTAGCCTGAAAGGTGATGTGATGGTTGGGCCCTTTTGGTGCCACGTGGATTTTGTTCACGAAACGTGCACGTTTGCGTCAGTTATTGTTAATGACTAGTGTTTGATTTGACTTTTCACATTTTACATCAAAAGCAAGGAACTAAATAGGAATATTACCTCAATTAAAGCGTGACAACAGTAGAATTTTGGTTGCCTGCACATTGCAATTGAAGTGGATGCTAAGGTTAAACTTGTTTGAGATCCATTAAAATCAAATTTTGATTAAAAATATATTTTGAAATAATAATTTTTTTAAGAACTTATGATTAAAAAATAAAAAAATTTTTAATTTAAATATAATATTATTTTATTAGATAATGCGTAATTGAAAAGATAAGAGAAAAATATGCATTTTTTATAATGGAGTCCAAACACGGGCTAAAATGTAAAGGGAAAAATTGTAGCTACAGTCTCCATCTTAGCTCCTTTTAACTTGGCCTGGGCAAAAAAATTAAAAAATCGACCAAATCAATCAAATCGAACCTACTCGGGTTGGTTCGATAAAAGTAATTGGTTTGGTTTTCTTTCAGATAAAATCGTGGTAGGTATGTTCAGTCATGGTTTAAAGTTTAAATAGTTGGTTAACCAAATCAACCCAACCCACTTATGTGTTTACTTTTTTTTAATTTAAGAAAAAAAAATCTAAAGATAAACTCTAATCTCATAACTATATTTCGATTCCCTCCAATCTATAATGTTACTAGTAAGTAATAGAATTAGAAATTTTATTTCCGCGAGTTTTTTACGTTATACGTAGCATTTTTTTTTTCATATTCAGCTAGTTAGACTACATCATACATAAAAAAGTAATAAATTTTTTAAGTTTTCTGTTAATCCGTCTCTATCAACCTAATTTTATTTGTTAATCAATAGTTATTATAATATAAAATTATTTGATTATTTTAGTTCTTGTAATTTAAGAGCGCCTAAAACTCGAACAATATTTTTAAAAATATATTAATTTGGACTAAAAGTTCAAATCGATTTAATTTGGTTTGGTTCGATACAAGAGTTAGAGTGGGTTGATTTGATTTGAAATTTGCCAAAATCGACTAATTTGATTTTGATTTCGAGTTGTAGTCGAAATCAATCCAAACCAAACCGTGCTTAGGCCTATTTTTAACAATCATTTTTTGAAAAATCTTTTTATAATATATTCAAGTTCAACCACACATTCATACAATAAAATATTATACACGTAAATTTAAAATTTTTCCTACTTTTTAATCACACAGTCTACCTGAAATACTATTCAAAACTCTTTTTTGAAATAATGGGTGTCACACATTTTCTACGACGTAAATTATACCGCACGTATACGATTTCAAGTTTTGTAATATAAGATTAAGTGCGGATGTCGAACCCAAAGCAATT